CAATCCCCTGGCTCCGTGTCCCCATTCCCGGCTCCCCAATCCCCTGGCTCCGTGTGCCATTCCCGGCTCCCCATTCCCCTGGCTCCGTGTCCCGCTCCAGGCTCCCCAATCCCCATTCCGGCTCCCCATTCCCCTGGCTCCGTGTCCCTATTCCCGGCTCCCCAATCCCCATTCCCGGCTCCCCATTCCCCTGGCTCCGTGTCCCCATTCCCGGCTCCCCAATCCCCATTCCGGCTCCCCAGTCCCCTGGCTCCGTGTCTGATTCCCGGCTCCCCAATCCTCTGGCTCCGTGTGCCATTCCCGGCTCCCCAATCCCCTGGCTCCGTGTGCCATTCCCGGCTCCCCAATCCCCATTCCCGGCTCCCCATTCCCCTGGCTCCGTGTCCCTCTCCGGCTCCCCAATCCCCATTCCCGGCTCCCCATTCCCCTGGCTCCGTGTCCCGCTCCAGGCTCCTCCCGCCCGTTCCCGGCAGGAAGCGCTCCCAGCCAATCGTGCCGGGGCCGCCGCCCGCCGCCCGCGCTGCCTCCGCCGCGGGCCCGGTGAGTGCGGGGGCTCCGGGGGGCTCGGGGGCTCCGGGTGCGGCCGCAGCGGGGCCGGCCCAGCCCGGGGGAGCTGCGGGGCCGCCCCGCTCCGCTGCCCCTCCCGCGGGCCGCGCTCGGCTTCGGGCGGGGTTCCGGGCGGACGGGGGGAGAAAGGAGAGAGGGAAGGAGGGAGGGAGGGAGGAATGAATGGGGCTCCCCCGGGGGGTTCGGGGAGCCCCGCGGGGGTTGGGGGGCTGCGGGGGTCCCCCCGGACCCCGGGGCGCAGGCAGGGGTGGGTGGCACCCCGGGATGCTCGGGAATCCCACTGGAAGCGCCCTATTGGGTATGCGGGACTGAAGGCGGCCCGCGGTGCCGGGAGGAAGCGCTGGTTCCCTTTTTCCCCCGCCGAGACAAGGGAGAGCCCGCCCAGCCTTCCTCCGGCCCACTGGGGCATCCCGACTCGCAATCCCTTCCTCCCGGCCAGGATCACCCCGAACCCGTGTCCATTCCTCCCGGCCAGGATCACCCCGAACCCGTGTCCCTTCCTCCCGGCAGAATCACCCCGAGTCCCTGTCCCTTCCTCCCAGCAAGGATCACCCCGAACCCGTGTCCCTTCCTCCCGGCAGGATCACCCCGAGTCCCTGTCCCTTCCTCCCAGCAAGGATCACCCCGAACCCGTGTCCCTTCCTCCCAGCAAGGATCACCCCGAGTCCCTGTCCCTTCCTCCCGGCAGGATCACCCCGAACCCGTGTCCCTTCCTCCCGGCAAGGATCACCCCGAACCCGTGTGCCTTCCTTCTACCAAGTATTGCACCCCAAATCTTCATCTCTTCCTCCTCCCAGTATCACCCCAAATCCCTTCCTCCTTCCCAGTATTGCACCCCAAATTTGTGTCCCTTCCTTCTGTCAAGTATTGCACCCCAGATCCTCATCCATTCCTCCCTCCTGGTATCGCACCCCAAATCCTCATCTCTTCCTCCTCCCAGTATCACCCCAAATCCCTTCCTCCTTCCCAGTATTGCACCCCAAATCTTTGTCCCTTCCTTCTGTCACATATTGCGCCCCAAATCTTCATCTCTTCCTCCTTCCCAGTATCTCCCCAAATCCTCATCCCTTCCTCCTCCTGGTATTGCACCCCAAATCCTCATCTCTTTCTCCTTCCCAATATTGCACCCCAAATCCCTTCCACCTCCCAGTATCACCCCAAATCCTCATCCCTTCCTCCTGCCAGGTGTCACCCTGAATCCTCATCCCTTCCTAGCCCCAAACACCCCACCCCGAACCCCCGATGGGATTTGGGAGCTGTGTCCCATCTTTCCACACCCCATCCCCACAGAGTCCCACGTGAGGCGTTGCTGCTGCACGCCCACAACTTGAGCAGGACCTAAAAATAGTCCTGAGCAGAGCCTGGCTCTTGGCTCGAGGATAGGGACAGAGGGGGGCCTGACCCAGGCACCCCAAAAATTACATTTTTATTTAGTTTATTACTTCTAAAATGATCTTTCTTTAGTTCACTTAAGGAGAGAAGTCTTCCTTGTTGATGTTATGGAGACTTTTTTGTGAGTTCTCTCATGGTTCTTTTACAAATAGCAGCTGCCTGGGGAAATTTATTATCTGAAAATTTATTATTTGCTATCCTGAAGCCCCTATTATTTCCTACAAGCCTTCCCACAGCTTGTTTATGGGTTGTGCTCACTTATGGGGTATTGTTTTAAAGATGAGCTGTTTAAAGGTAAAAGTTCTCATTATATATCTCTAAAATGATCTTCATCTCTGGGAACAGAGATCTGTTTCTTTTCCTTCCTGGGGGCACAGGGTCTCATCACTCTTTTCTTTTTCTCTGTTTAAACTTCTGCTTACTTTAATATGGAGGCCTTTTCTCAATATTAATTGGAACCCTTCATCTCCCTATAGTTTCATGTGTTATAGGGAAAAAGAGTATTTTTTCCATAGCTTACAAGAGGATTTTAACCCTTAAATTAAGGCATCTCCTCATTCCTCCCATCTGGGACTTCTTTTTCATCCATGTCTTCATGTTGTTCTTTTACATCTTGTTCCTTTCTCTCACTCGAGGGAGGATTGAAGCACTGAAAGGGTTAACAGCTTCCTTGGGGCTTGCAAATGGTCAGTGGGAGGCAAGGACTTCTCCCTGGACCCGGGGGATAATTTGGGATTATAAAAAAAACAGGGAATGGGTGAGGTGTGGTTCTGGGGGATTGAATTATCCCTTGGCTTTCTGGAGGGAAGTTTTTGTGGGATTCCTTCTATCCCCACTTGAGGTCTTGGGGATCCCACACCAGGCTTGGGGAAACTGAGTCACAGCACGGTGGTGGCAGCAGGAGGGTTGGGGACACGGGTGTCACCTTCCTGTGACCCCCTGAGCCAGCCTGGCAGAACTGTAGGGAAGAGAGGATTTGTTCAATGTCCCCAGGAAAAGGGAAGGGTTCCAAGGGGTTGGGGTTTCCCTCTCCCCCCATCCCCTTTTCCCTCCTTCCTTGCTCCCTGGAATGGGTTTGGTTGGGAAAAGCTTGGGACAGGGGGTGGGAAAAATCCTGGATTGTTCGTTTTGCCTCATGCTCAGGAGGGAAGGAGAGGGGAAGCATTCTTAGGGCTCTTGGCATAGGAATGGGCCTCAGTTTCCCCATTCCCTGTGCCTCAGTTTCCCCTTGTGCCTCAGTTTCCCCTTGTGCCTCAGTTCCCCTCCTTTTACCTCAGTTTCCTTATTCCCTGTGCCTCAGTTTCCCCCATTCCCTGTGCACCAGTTTCCCCTTGAGCCTCAGTTTCCTCTTATGTCTCAGTTTCTTCCATTCCCTGTGCCTCAATTTCCCCCATTCCCCGTGTCTGTTTCCCCCCTTGTGCCTCAGTTTCCCCCATTCCCTGTGTCCCTGTTTCCCCTGTGCCTGTTTCCCACTTGTGTGTCAGTTTCCCTATTCCCTGTGCCTCAGTTTCCCTCTATACCTCAGTTTCCCCCATACCTCAGTTTCCTCTTTGTGCCCCAGTTTCCCCCATTCCCTGTGCCCCAGTTTCCCCCATTCCCTGGACCTTTTTCCCTCTTTGTGCCTCAGTTTCTCCGTGGGAGCCACAGGGGTGCCAGTGCCATGACCCCACGGAGGGGGGGGGGCGGGTGCCAATGCCAGGGGCTCTGGGCAGGGACCCTGGCATGGGCTGGGACAGGGAGGGGACACAACGGGACCACCATGGGATGGGATGGGATGGGATGGGATGGGATGGGATGGGATGGGATGGGATGGGATGGGATGGGATGGGATGGGAAGGGACAGAGAGGGGATGGAGTGGGACCCTGGGATGGGATGGCACAGGGAGGGGACAGGGACAGGACGCAGCAGGGACACTGGGATGTGCTGGGACAGGGAACAGGATACAGGGGGACTCTGGGATGAGCTGGCACAGGGAGGGACAGTGCCGTGACCCTACAGATGTGGCAGTGCCGTGACCCCACAGGCACAGGACCCTACAGATCCCAGCGGGACCCTGGGATGGGCTGGCATGGCCCAGGGAGGGGACACAGTAGGACCCGGGGAGGGGACAGGGAGGGGACACAGTGGGACCCGGCAGGGGACAGGGAGGGCCCCGCAGTGGCGCCGCTGCCCGGAGCTGGTTCGGGTCATGTTGCGGCTCCTCGGGAATCCAGCTCCGCTTTAACTCCCCTGCTCCGGGCACACATCCCGCAGCTTCTCCTGCCTCCCTGCGGGCAGGGATGAGCCTCGCTGCTGCCCCGGAGCTGCCGGGAATCCGCAGCCCTGTCCCTTGGAGCTGCTCCCGTTGGGCTTGGAGCGAAATCCCGGCTCCTGGGAGCTCCTCTTGGAGCACGGGGCTGGAGCGGCCGGCAATGCAGGGAACAGCTGGGAAGGGAAGGGAAGGGAAGGGAAGGGAAGGGAAGGGAAGGGAAGGGAAGGGAAGGGAAGGGAAGGGAAGGGAAGGGAAGGGAAGGGAAGGGAAGGGAAGGGGAGGGGCTCACATGGCTTCCCCGGGACACAGCTGGCTCCATCAGTGCCAGGAATGCAGCAATGCCTCTGGCTGTGCCAGGCTGAAGCTGAACCCCTTCCTGGGGGTGGTGTCTGATGGGGTGGTGCTCCCCTGGAATGGCTGGTGTGGGATCCCCAGGATCCCTGGGAATGGCTGCAGTGGGATCCCCGGGAATGGCTGCCCTGCGATCCTGGGGAAGGGCTGCAGTGGGATCCCTGGGAATGCCGTGGGATCCCTGGGAATGGCTGGTGTGGGATCCCTGGGAATGGGCGGTGTAGGATCCCTGGGAATGCTGTGGGATCCCTGGGAATGGCTGGTGTGGGATCCCTGGGAATACCATGGGATCCCTGGGAATGGCTGGTGTGGGATCCCTGGGAATACCATGGGATCCCTGGGAATGGCTGGTGTAGAATCCCTGGGAATGCCCTGGGATCCCTAGGAATGGTTGGTGTGGGATCCCTGGGAATGCCATGGGATCCCCAGCCTGTTCCCTTCCCTCACTCTGTCCCTCCATCCCAGCACCATCCCAGCTTTTCCTTGTGTTTTCCCTCAGCTCCGGGTTCCCAGAGAGGATCCTCCCCACCAGGATTCCCGCTCCTGCTTCCTCATCCCGGCCTTTCCCGTGCCAAGGATGCCCTTCCCGCTGCTCATCCTGGCACTCAGCCTGGCAGGTGAGTGGGGCTGGTGGCACCACCCCGCAGATGTCCCCAGTGTCCCCCCCATGTCCCGACAGAGCCGTGCCCTGAGCTGGCATCTCCCACTGGGTGTTTCTCCTGGATTTGTGCTCCGTGGGGTGACAGCCTCGGGTGGCACCTCCTGGCAGGGGACAGCTCCTTCCCACCACGGGGTCACTCAGTCCTGGCGGATCCCCCTTCCCAGGAGAGCAGTTGGCAGTGCCACCTCAGTTCCAGCCAGGCTGGCTCCTGCTGTTCATTGTTATCCCTTCCCTTGCCTTGTTATTGGGATGAGCTGGAATCCTGCCAGGGCACTGGGATGAGCTGGAATCGTGCTGTGCCACCCCAGCTGGCACCATGCTGGAGCACTGGTGCCACCTAGCGCTGCCAGCCTGGCCAGGGCTGGCTCCTCCTGGCGACTTGTGTCCCCAGCACTGCCACCAGCTGTCCTGTCCCTGTGGGGACAACCTGGGCTCCGTGCCCTTGAGCGGGTTTGGGTGCCCATGGCTGCTCCTGGCAGCTGAAGGTGCCTCTGGTTTGTCTGGGATTATCCCCCTTCCATCAGGGTGGTGTGGCCAGAGACAATCTTGAGATGCCACTTGTCCATATGTCCCTCCCATGGGCATTGCTTGGGTGTTATCCATGTTTGGGTGCCTATGGCACCTGAAGGTGCCCCAGTTTGGTGCTGGATATGGGACTGTCCCCCTTCTATCAAGGTGGCATAGCTGGGGACAGTCCTGAGATGCCACCTGCCCATGTGTCCCTCCCATGGGCATTGCTTGGGTGTTATCCATGTTTGGGTGCTCCTGGCTGCTCCTGGCAGCTGTAGATGCCCCAGTTTGGTGCTGGGTGTGGGACTGTCCCCCTTCCAGCAGGGTGGCATTGCTGGGGACAGTCCTGAGATGCCACCTGCCCACGTGTCCCTCCCACGGGCATCCCTCAATTTTCTCAGCCACCATCCAGGTGCAGAATCCAGGAGGTTCTCCTGCAGCTGTCACAGCTTGTCCCCATCCCCTCCCACAGGCGCCATGGAGATCCAGGTGCCGGAGGAGCCCGTGGTGGCCCTGTTTGGCCACGACGCCACCCTGCTGTGCTCCTTCTCTCCCGAGGCCAACTTCAGCGTGGCCGAGCTGAGCCTCATCTGGCAGCTGACGGACACCAAGCGCGTGGTGCACGAATTCTCCGGCGGCCAGGACCGGCTGCAGGACCAGGGCCGCGGCTACGCCAACCGCACGGCGCTCTTCTATGACCAGCTGCAGCGGGGCAACGTGTCCCTGCTGCTGCGCCGCGTGCGCATCGCCGACGAGGGCAGCTTCACCTGCTTCGTGCGCGTGCGCGACTACGACAGCGCCGCCGTCGCGCTGCAGGTGGCAGGTGAGAGCCCCTGGAGATGGGGAGTGATGGCTGTGCCGCCCCAAAATGTTCCCTGGGCAGTGCGATCCATGCCCTGCTGAGGCTCCTGGCTGTGGGGCCACCTCAGCTGGCAGTGACCCTCAGCTGAGGGTGGGTTTGGCAGCTGGAAGAGCCCATCCTGATTGGGGCTGGCCAAGCTCCCCATCCCAGTCCTCACTCTGGTGCCCCCTTGTCCCCAAAATATTCCCTGGGCAGTGTGATCTGTGCCCTGCTGAGGCTCCTGGCTGAGGGGCTGCCTCAGCTGGCAGTGACCCTCAGCTGAGGATGGGTTTGGCCCCATCCCAGGGCTGGCCCAGCTCCCCATCCCAATCCTCATGTCAGTCCCCTCTTGTCGCCCACGAGTCCTCCCCAAAATGTTCCTGGGGGAGCGACAGAGAGGGGCCATTTTGGCCATCAGTGACCCTCAGGTGAGGATGGGTTTAGCAGCTGGAAGAGCCCATCCTGGTCAGGGGTGGCCAAGCTCCCCATCCCAATCCTCACTTCAGTCCCTCCTTGTCCCCAGAATATTCCCTGGGCAGTGTCATCCGTGCCCTGCTGAGCTCCTCAGCTGAGGATGGGTTTGGCAGCTGGAAGATCCCAATCCTGACAGCTCGATGATCCCAATCCTGGCTGGCCCAGCTCCCCATCCCAATCCTCACTCTGGTCCCTCCTTGTCCCCTGCAGCACCTCCCCAAAATGTTCCCTGAGCAGTGCAATCCATGCCCTGCTGAGGCTCCTGGCTGAGGGGCTGCCTCAGCCATCAGTGACCCTCAGCTGAGCATGGGTTTGGCAGCTGGAAGATCTCAATCCTGGCAGCTGCAAGTTCCCATCCCAATCCTGGCTGGGTAGGGATCCCCATCCCAATCCCTACTCCGGTCCCTGCCTGGCCCCCAAAGCACCTCCCCAAAATGTTCCCTGGGCAGCGCAATCTGTTCTCTGCTGAGGGTCCCAGCTGTGGGGCCACCTCAACTCGCTGAGGATGGGTTTAGCAGCTGGAAGAGCTCATCCCAGTCCTGGCTGGTCCAGCTCCCCATCCCAATCCTCACACCAGTCCCCCCTTGTCCCCAGAATATTCCCTGGGCAGTGTGATTCGTGCCCTGCTGAGGCTCCTGGCTGAGGGGCTGCCTCAGCCATCAGTGACCCTCAGCTGAGCATGGGTTTGGCAGCTGGAAGATCTCAATCCTGGCAGCTGCAAGTTCCCATCCCAATCCTGGCTGGGTAGGGATCCCCATCCCAATCCCTACTCCGGTCCCTGCCTGGCCCCCAAAGCACCTCCCCAAAATGTTCCCTGGGCAGCGCAATCTGTTCTCTGCTGAGGGTCCCAGCTGTGGGGCCACCTCAACTCGCTGAGGATGGGTTTAGCAGCTGGAAGAGCTCATCCCAGTCCTGGCTGGTCCAGCTCCCCATCCCAATCCTCACACCAGTCCCCCCTTGTCCCCAGAATATTCCCTGGGCAGTGTGATCCGTGCCCTGCTGAGGCTCCTGGCTGAGGGGCTGCCTCAGCCATCAGTGACCCTCAGCTGAGGATGGGTTTGGCAGCTGGAAGATCCCAATCTTGGCTGGCCCAGCTCCCCATCCCAATCCTCACTTCAGTCCCTCCTTGTCCCCAAAATATTCCCTGGGCAGTGCAATCCATGCCCTGCTGAGGCTCCTGGCTGCAGGGCCACCTTGGCCAGCAGTGGCCCTCAGCTGAGGATGGGTTTGGCAGCTGGAAGAACCCAATCCTGGCAGCTGCAAGTTCCCATCCCAATCCTGGCTGGCCCCACTCCTGCTCCCAGCCCTCACTGCTGTCCCCCCCTGTCCCCACAGCTCCCTACTCCAAGCCCAGCGTGCACCTGGAGCCCAGCAAGGACCTGAAGCCGGGCGACGTGGCCGAGGTGACGTGCCACGCGTCCCGCGGCTACCCCGAGGCCAGCGTGCTGTGGCAGGACAGCCGGGGTGCCAACCTGACTGCCAATGTCACCACGTGGCAGGTGGCCAACGAGGAGGGGCTCTTCGAGGTGCGCAGCGTCCTGCGCGTGCTGGTGGAGCCCAGCGTCACCTACTCGTGCCTGGTGCTCAACGCCGCGCTGCGCCAGCACGGCCACGCCTCTGTCACCATCACGGGTGAGCCCGGGCTGGGGAGGGGACACTGCCACACAGAGCCTGCCAGGAGGGGCTGAGGAGGGGACACGGCCACACAGAGCCAGCTCAGAGGGCTGGGGGAGGTGGCAGTGGCACACAGAGCCAACCAGGAGAGGTGGCACTGCCACCCAAAGCTAGTCAGGAGGGGTGGGAGATGTGGCACTGCCACCCAGAGTCTGCCAGGAGGTCTGGGGGAGGTGGCACTGCCACCCAGAGCCTGCCAGGAGGGGCTGGGAGAGGTGGCACTGCCACCCAGAGCCACCCAGGAGGGCTGGGGGAGGTGACAGTGGTAGCCAAAGCCAGCTGAGAGAGTTGGGGGAGGTGGCAGTGCCATGCAAAGCCAGCTAGGAGGGGCTGGAGAGGTGACCATGGTGGCACTGCCGTGCAGAGCCTGCCAGGAGGGGCTGGGGGAGGTGGCAGTGGCACCCAGAGCCGCTGGAGGAGGTGGCACTGTCACCCAAAGCCAGCCAGGAAGCACTGGGGGAGGTGGCAGTGGCACCCAGAGCCGCTGGAGGAGGTGGCACTGTCACCCAGAGCCAGCCAGGAAGCACTGGGGGAGGTGACACTGGCACCCAAAGGCACCCAGGAGACAATGGGGGAGGTGGCCGTGGTGACACTGTCACCCAAAGGCACCCAGGAGGGCTGGGGGAGGTGACCATGGTGGCACCCAGGAGGTCTGGGGAAGGTGACCGGGGGCCACCCAGGAGGGCTGGGTGAGGTGGCACTGCCACCCAAAGCCACCCAGAGCTTGGGAAGGGATTCCTGGCTGGGCTGGCATTCCCAGAGTGCTGTGGCTGTCCCTGGATCCCAGGCCAGGTGGGACAGGGCTTGGAGCAGCCTGGGACAGTGGGAGGTGGCACTGCCATGGCAGGGGGTGGCAGCAGGTGACACTTAAGTCTTGCATGGGGACATTCCATGCCCCCAGGAAGCAGTTCCTGGAGCTGGGTTGTGATCCAGCCTGGATGTGGGGTCACCGTGGATCATCCTGGATGTGGGGTCACCCTCAAAGTTGGATCATCCTGGGGTTTGGGGCATCCTGGGTGTTGGATCACCCCAGATACGGGGTCATCCTGGATATGGGATCACCCCAGATGGGGGATCACCCTGGGGGTGGGATCATTCCCGGATATGGGATCACCCCTGATGTGGGATCAGCCTGGATGTGGGATCACCCTGGGTATGGGATCACCGCTGATGTGGGATCACCATGGATATGGGGTCATTCCGGATGTGGGATCACCCTGGATATGGGGTCATTCCGGATGTGGGGTCACCCTGGACATGGGATCACCCCGGATGTGGGATCACCCCGGATACGGGATCACCCCGGATACGGGATCACCCCGGATGTGGGATCACCCCGGATGTGGGATCACCCTGGGTATGGGGTCCCGCTGCCATTCCGGGTGCTGATCCAGGCCCTTTTCCATCCCTCCCCGCAAGGCCAGCCCCTGGCATTCCCGGCGGTGGCCCTGTGGGTGACAGTGGCCCTGGCCGTGTGCGTGGTGGCCCTGCTGGGCGTCCTGGCCTTCGTGTGCCACCAGAAGATCCGGGAGAGCTGCCGGGAGGATGAGGAGCGCGCAGGTGAATCCCGGGAAAGGCCGGGAGGGGACGGATGGCACCAGAGGGACACCAGGGGGTGGCACTGCCATGCCTGTCCCCTTTTCCCATGGCCGGGACATCTCTGATGCCTTCTCCCATTTTGGGTCGTATTCCACATTTTTATGGGGTGGTGTTTGCACCACAGGGGATTTGTTCCCAAAAAAAGCTCCCAGAATGGCTCTGCCACCCTCAGGAATGACCTTTTTTCCATGGGTTTTGTCCATGGATTTTTTTTTCCAGTTTCTGTTGGGAATTTCCTTTTTTCCATGGGTTTTTTTTTTTCCATGAATTTTGCTCCCAGTTTCCCTCAGAAATTGCCTTTTCCCATGGTTTTTTCCATGGATTTTGCTCCCTGTTTCTCTTGGGAATGACCTTTTCCCCATGTGTTTTTTCCATGGGTTTGCCCCCAGTTTCCCTCAAGAATGACCTTTTTTCCATGGATTTGTTCCCTGTTTCGTCTGGGAATTACCTTTTTTCCACAGATTTTTTTCCATAGATTTTGCTTCCTGTTTCTCTTGGGAATTACTTTTTTTCCATGTTTTTTTTTTTTTTCCATGGATTTTGCTCCAAGTTTCTATTGGGAATTACCTTTTTTCCATAGATTTGCTCCCAGTTTCTCTTGGAAATGACCTTTTTTCCATGTTTTTTTCCCATGGATTTTGCTTCCAGTTTCTATTGGGAATTACCTTTTTCCCATTTTTTTTTCCCATGAATTTTGCTCCCAGTTTCCCTTGGGAATTACCTTTTTTTCATGGATTTTGCTCCCAGTTTCTCTTGGGAATTACCTTTTTTCCACAGATTTTTTCCATGGATTTGCTCCCCGTTTCTCTTGGGAAGACCTTTTTTCCATGGATTTTTTCATGGATTTACTCCCAGTTTCCCTTGGGAATGATCTTTTTCCCATGTTTTTTTCCCATGGGTTTTGTTCCAGTTTCTCTTGGGAATTTCCTTTTTCCATGGGATTTTTCCATGGATTTTGCTCCCAGGAACAGCAGCAGGGGGTGGGAACTTCCTGGGATCCTGGTGGGTGCTGGAGGGAGGAAAGAGCCTCCCAGTTTGGGGTATCCCAAATTTTGGGGGATCCAGGGATCCCTCTCCAGGTGGTTTTTAGCTGTGCCAAACCCATGGCTGTCCCTTGGAGCTGGGGCTTTTCCCGTTGGGATTTTTGGGAATGTGGTGGCCTGGAAAGGCCAGGAAGCTCCAAGGGGCACCCCCAGAATCCCGGGAATGGGGTTCCCACCTTGGGATCCTTGTTTTCCAGGGCCAGAGGAGCGGGATGAGGAGGGGGAGGAGCCCAAGACAGGTGGGTGCCCCATCCTGGTTCGGGGTGGCCCCTTCCCTATTCCCGATTTTCTGACACCCCTGATCCTGGATAAATCTCCCCATTCCCAAATAAAACCTCCCTATTCCTTAATAAACCTCCTCATTCCATAATAAAACCTTCCTATTCCTTAATAAACTTCCCAATTCCTTAATAAAACCTCCCAATTCCCAAATCAAACCTCCCTATTTCTTAATAAAATGACAGAATTCCATAATAAAATCTCCCAGTTCCTTAATAAACCTCCCAACTCCTTAATAAAATCTCCCAACACCCAAATAAAACCTCCCCGTTCCTTAATAAAACCTTCAAATTCCCAAATAAAGCCTCCAAATTTCTTAGTAAAATCTCCCCATTCCTTAATAAAATCTCCCAATTCCTGAATAAAATCTCCCATTTCCTTAATGAAAGGACAGAATTCTGTAATAAAACCTCCTCATTCTTTAATTAAATGTCAGAATTCCTTAATAAAATGACAAAATTCCTTATTAAACCTCCCAATTCCTTAATAAAATGTCAGAATTCCCAAATCAAACCTCCCAATTCCATAATTGCCCAGCATCCAGCAGCTCCATGATGTTCCTGGGGATTCCCTTTATCCATGGGCACAGGACCAAACCCTGGGAATTCTGCAGGGAAATTGGGAATGGGGTCGCTTTTGGGGTTTATCCCTCAAAAATGGGGTTTTGGGGCTGTTTCCTTTGGGAATGGGATGGGATTGATAACAAGATGTTTTTCTCTTTTCCCAGCTCTGCAGCTGCTGGAAAACACTGAGAGCAGAGAGGGTGAGTGGATATTTCTGGCAAATCCGGGATAATTCCTATTTTCTCCCTAAAATCTGCATGGGAAACATTTGTCAGGTTTCAAGGGGAATTTTCCCCTCCCTATTTTCGTTTTCCCATGGGTTTTCCATCAGCTTTTCCCAGATTATGGTTTTCCATTTCCCCATTTCCCAGTTTTTCATGGTTTTTCCCAGTTTTTCCTGTTTTCTCCTGGCATCCAGTGGCTCCTGCATCCCTCCTTTTGCCAGCCACTCTGGATGGGGAAAAGCCTCCCCACACCCAACCCTGGAAGCAATTTGGGGGTTTTTTGGGGTTTGCATGGATTTTCTGAGATGATGGGAATTGCTGGGGTTGGAAAAGGATCCAGAGTTTTCCAGCCTGGAAAAGGATCTGGGGTTTCCCAGTCTGCAAAAGGATCCAGGGATTTCCCAGAATGAAAAGGATTCAGAGTTTTTCAGCCTGGAAAAGGATCCAGAGTTTTCCAAGCTGCGGCCCCAATAATCCATTAATGTACTAATTTATCAATTTATTTATTCATTTATCAATTCATTTATTTGTTAATTTATTGATTTGATAATTTATTAATCCATTAACCAATTAATCCATTATTTCATTACTCTATTGATTTATTAATTCATTAGTTCATTAATCTGTTGATTTATCAATCCCATCCCGGCAGTTCCCTTCCCCGTGCCGGCAGTTCCATGTTTTCCCTCTCAATTCCCTTTCCCCTGCCCAGGTCGGGAGCAGGAGATCGATTGACGGCAGCCCTGGCCCCGCCCGCCTGTCCCCGAGCCAGCGGCGACACCCCCGGGGCGGTGACACCTCTTGGCGGTGACACTCCCGGTCGGTGACAGCTCCGGGTGGTGACACCCCCGGGACAGCAACACCCCTGGGTCGGTGACACCCCCTCTAGGCAGTGACACCCCTGAGGTGGTGACACCTCCGAGCCAGCGACAACCCTGGGGCGGTGACACCCCCGGGTCAGTGACACCTCCAAGCTGGTGACACCCCTGCGCAGTGACACCCCCGAGGTGGTGACATCCCCGGGGCGGTGACACCCCTGAGGCGTCCCGGAGGACCCGAAGCTGCCGCCTGCCCCACCCCATTCCCGTTCCCCGCCTCCCGTCCTTCCCGGGAAAGGCGGGGTGAGGATCTGCCCGGTGTCCCTGTGTCCCTCTGTGTGTCCGTCCCAGGGGGACATTCCCCTTCCCTACTCTGGTGCTGCCCCGGGCGCCTTTCCCTGCCCTTTCCAAGCCCGGAGCCTCGGGAATGGCGGCTGGGGCACGGGGGGCTCCAGGAGCCCCTTCCTCACGCTCCTTTTCCCGCTCCCCGAGTCCCTCCGGACTCGTCCTGGCCTTAACCGCTGGATCCCGGAGGGGTTTGTCCCACCGGGAACGATCCCGGGGCGTTTTTGGGAAGGGGGCACCCGCTGGCCGGGTGAGGTCCTGCTGTGGGGACGCCTCTGGGGACATCCTGAGCTCGTCATTCCTGTGGGATTGGGGGCTCCGGGTGCGTCCCAGGGTCCCCCCAGCGCTGTTGGGGACGTGGGGGACACCCCGAGTGCTGCTGTCCCGGAGCACAGGAAGTCCCTGAGGGCTTCTTGGGTGGAGTCCTTCTTTAAAATCCGGGATCTGGAGGGTTTCTCGTGCCTTGACAAATAAATTTGGGACCGTGCTGGTCGATCCCTCCCGGCTCCGTGTGCTCTACGGGGTTTGGCTGGGAACGGTGTAAGGGTTGGGATTCCCAGAGGAAAAGATTTCCAGGGCCTGTTGGAGCCCCATCATGAGGAGGAAAATCCCACAGGGATGCCTGAGCTGGCTCCTAAATTAAATCCCGCTGCCAAGATGGGGTGGGAATTCCCAGGGGATCCTTCCCCATAGGCTAGGAATTCCCAGGGGATCCTTCCCAAAGCCCTTCCTGAATCCCCTGTGGGGGATGGTTTTTGGTTGTCCTTCCCTGAGCTCAGCATCCTGATGGGAGAACATTCCCAAAATCCAGCCCGGGAGAAGCGTGCTGGCCTCAGGCTGGGATGGAGAGGGATAGATGGTGGCTCCATCCTGGGATTTGATATCCGGCCTGAATGAAAAGTGGCTCCGCCCCTTACAGCCACACCCATGTGGCCACGCCCTGGAGCCCAGGAGCTTCCAAGGGCTGTGGGAAGCCCCCACAGGGCCATCGTGGCCAGCCGTGGGGCCATCAGGGCCAGCTGTGGGGCCATCGTGGCCAGCCATGGGGCCATTGGGACCAGCCGTGGGGCCATTGGGACCAGCCATGGGGCCATCGTGGCCAGCTGTGGGGCCATCGTGGCCAGCCATGGGGCCATCAGGGCCAGCTGTGGGGCCAATGGGTCTGGCCTTGGGGACATCAGGGCCAGTGGGGTGGGGCTATCTTGGCTGGCCACAGGGCCATTGGGGACAACTGCGGTGCCATCAGGGCCAGCTGTGGGGCCATCGTGGCCAGCCATGGGGACATCGTGGCCAGCTGTGGGGCCATCGTGGCCAGCTGTGGGGCCATCAGGGCCAGCTGTGGGGCCATCGTGGCCAGCCATGGGGACATCAGGGCCAGCTGTGGGGCCATTGGGGACAGCCACCCTCCCGTAGACAACAGTGGCCCACAAGGCTCTCCCGGCCGTGTCCTTGTCATGGTCCCTGTCCCCCTGATCCTGCTGGTAGCTGGGGATGTGCCAAGCCCGGTCCCTGCCAGGACAGCGCTCCAGGCTCTGCCCACCCATGCCTGGTGTCCTGGAGGTGGCCGGGATAACAGAGCTCCCTGGGAGCGCCGCGTCCATCCCCGGCATCGGGACAGAGTGTGGGATATTCCTGTGGGAACGCAGGACGGTCCCAGCCTGCTCCTCCCCAGCAGTCCTGAAAAATAAAATGTCAGATCCAGCAGCATTTGGGGGAAAAGCTCATTTCACCCTGCTTGGACTGGGGTCGGATTGGGAGGAATTCTGCATATCCCACAGTTCTGGCTCTGGGATGACACTGGGATGGATGGATGGATCCATGGATGGATGGATGATGGATTGATGGATGGATGGATGGATGGATGGATGGATGGATGGATGGATGGATAATGGGTGGATGGATGAATGCATGGATCCATGGATGGATGGTCAGTCCCAGCTGCTCCCCTTGGATTTCTGCATTGATTTCCCACCCCAAAGCTGCTCGGCAATGCAGCTCTTCCCACCCGGATTGACCATCAGGAGCCGAGGTGGCGTTTTTGGCTCAGAAAAATCTTGGAAAAGCCTCGTGCCAGGAATGCTCTGGGATGGAAACGTGTCCCTGTGGGATGAGGCGCTGGCGGGAAGGACACGGGAACATTGTCCTGGGAACAGCTGCTGCTCCGACCCCTTTGGATACCTCGGAAAAACGCCCAGGGTGGATTTGGAGCTCTAGATTCCTTTGTTTCCAAGCAGGACCTGATTTCTTTCCCTGAAAAATCAGTGTTTGGATGTGGAAAAGCAGGATTAGGGAGCTCAGGAAAAGTGGGACTTTTTTCAGACGGATGCAGGATGTGGGGTCAGGGATATTTCTGCTGGAAAAGTTGGGAATTCAGGGGGAAGGAGTTCCCAAGGACAGGTCCTCATTCCTGTGGGTTTTGGTGATCCCCTTGTTGTTCCTCTTGGAGTTGGGAATGATATTCCACTGACATTCCAGTGACATCCTGGAGCCCTCCCAAATCCCCTCAGCCAGAAATGTCCGACCTCACTGATTTTCCCTAAACCAAACAGGGATAACACATCCCAGAGAAGGGAAATTCCCCCTCCCTGATCCTGCCACCCCTCCAGCATTCCCACATTCCAATCCGTGCCCCATTCCTGCCCTCCAGAATGGAGGCTGGCCCCTCCTGGCACATCCGTGTCGTGGTTGGAATTTCTCTGTGCTGGATGATTTATTGAGCTCCTTCGATCCAGTAAAAAAAAAATCATTTAAAATTCCCTGAGCCTGGAAAACCGTCGGGATATTGGAATATCAGGATATTGAGATACCGGGATACGGCGATATCGGGATATTTGTTGCCACCTTCTCACTCGGCGTTTATGAGGAGTACGGATTTATTGAAATATATATTTATATTTATATATAGATCTTTTCCAGCCCCTTTCCCAGGGATTTTCCCCCTCCCCCAAACCCTTTCCAAACCCAGATCCGGGCTCAGTTTTTGTTGGGAATTCTCTGCCTAGCCGGGACGTACGGCAGCAACGTCTGCGTGCTCTTATCGGCCACGGTCTGGGTGCTGCTGTTCCTCGTGGCCCTGCGGATCGGGATCACGCCCGGGTTCCTCGGAAGCTGCTCCCGAGGCCCCTTCCTGGCGGGATCATCGGGAATGTCGGCACCGTCATCGGCGTCACCGTCGTCGTCGCAGCACAGGGCATGGTAGAGCACCTTGTCACTGAAGCGGACGCGTTCCCGCGTCCCCGCTGGCCGCTGGGCCGGGATTTTGGGAACAGTGGCACTCCCGAAACATTCCTCGCTGGAGGAATCCGGGGTCCCCCCGCCCCCACGGGGGCCGTTGGCCACGGGGACCCCCCCGTTCATCAGCCGGGCCGGCGGCGGCCGCGGGGGCTCCGGGCAGTCGCCGGGGTCGGAGGGCGTGGAGGCGTCCAGGAAGGAGCAGAATTCCCAGCTGTCCGAGAGGACGTCGGAGGCGGCGAAGTCCAGCGGGCCCAGCTCAAGGCTGGCGCCGCCCCGGTCGCTGCTGGACGTGCTGCTGGCCGTGGCCGGAGTCCAAGCGTCCGGCTCCAGGTCCAGAGCGAAGTCCGACGTCAGGCGGTCAATCTGGGACACGACCTGCGGAGAGAGAGATGGACACGGGATGGATGGATGGATGATGGATGATGGATGGATGATGGATGGATGGATGGATGGATGGATGGATGATGGATGGATGGATGATGGATGATGGATAGATGGATGATGGATGGATGGATGGATGGATGGATGGATGGATGATGGATGGATGGATGATGGATGGATGGATGGATGATGGATGGATGGATGATGGATGGATGGATGGATGATGGATGGATGGATGGATGGATGGATGGATGGATGGATGGATGGATGATGGATAGATGGATGATGGATGGATGGATGATGGATGGATGGATGGATGGATGGATGATGGATGATGGATGGATGGATGGATGGATGATGGATGGATGGATGGATGATGGATGGATGATGGATGATGGATGGATGGATGGATGGATGATGGATGGATGGATGGATGGATGGATGGATGGATGATGGATGGATGATGGATAGATGGATGATGGATGGATGGATGGATGGATGATGGATGGATGGATGGATGGATGGATGGATGGATGGATGGATGGATGGATGGATGGATGGATGATGGATGGATGGATGGATGGATGGATGGATGGATGGATGGATGATGGATGGATGATGGATAGATGGATGATGGATGGATGGATGGATGGATGATGGATGGATGGATGGATGGATGGATGGATGGATGGATGGATGGATGGATGGATGATGGATAGATGGATAGATGGATGGATGGATGGATGGATGGATGGATGGATGGATGGATGATGGATGATGGATAGATGGATGGATGGATGGATGATGGATGGATGATGGATGGATGGATCCATGGATGGATGAAGGATGGATGGATGGATGGATGGATGGATGGATGGTCCCAACTCCTCCCCTTGGATTTCTGTGTTGTTTTCCTATCCCAAAACTTCCAGAGATAGTGGGATCCCTCCATTACTCAAGCTTTGGCTTTGAAGCTTGTTGGGAATATCCCCAGGGAAGCCTGGAAATCAGGAAAACTCCTTTTTCCCTTTCCAGATCCCTTTGCCTTTTATTTTTTCTTCTTTTCTGGGAAAGGAAGGGCTAAACTTGCGAAAGAGAGTAAAAAAAGGTATTTTCTGACCTCTTTATTTTTGGGACAAGGAAAAATTGGGAAGGAGGCTGGGAATCTTTGGGAATATCCTGTTACCAAATGGTTCTGCTGGAATAGGATCCCCTCTGTTCCCAACGGGAATTTCAGCTCTGGGACAGGGCCAGCGTGTCCCTGTCACCTGAGGTCCCTTCCCAGTCTCACCAAAGGGACCGGGATCGAGCAGGGACAGCAGGAAGTGCATCCCAATCCCCATCCAAATCAGCCATTATTGGTGCCACTCATGGCCATTGCCTTCCCAGTCCCGTCCCCATCCCGAGACTGGTGTCACTTGTCACTGTCCCCATCCCAGTCCTGTCCCCATCCCAGTCCTGTCCCCATCCCAATCCCAATACCAGCCCCATCCCAGGACTGGTGTCACGGCTGTCCCCATTCCAGACACATCCCAATCCTGTCCCCATCCTGGGATTGATGTCACTCACAGCTGTCCCCATCCCAATCCCAGTCCTGTCCCCATCCCAGGATTGGTGTCACTTTTGGCTGTCCCCATCACAGGATTAGTGTCACTCCGGGCTATTTTTAGGATCATTCCCTATTTTAAGCCAGGGGTTAAATCCCCCGGTGACACTCGGCTCCCGCGGGGGATTAACACGGAAAGAAGGATTTGGGATTTGCTCCCCCTCTTTTCCTCCCTCACCGAGGCTGGCAGAGCTTTTCCAGCTTGGAGGGGGAAAAATTCCCCTGATTTCCCAGGAATATCCCCAGGGATTCACCCCAAATGTCCTCCTCTGTTTATATGGGGGAAAATCCTCTCCCAGTTCCCTGGGAACATTCCCAGGGATTCATCCTGAACCCGGTTTCCTACTTGTAGGGGACAAATTCCCAGGAAACTGGGAAGGATTCGTCCCCCACAAGCAGGGGAGGAGGTTTGGGATGAGGGATTTTGGGGGGAATTGTTCCCTCCAAGCACATGAGGGTGTTTGGGATGAATCCCTGGAGATATTCCCAGGGAATTGGTGGGATTTGTCCCCAGGGAATCGCAGGGGATTTTTCCCCACATAAACAGGGGAGGAGGTTTGGGATGAATCCCTGGGGATGTTACCAAGGAACTGGGGGAATTCCAAGGAGCTTCCCAATTCAATCCCATCTGGAATGTTCCCACCCAGCTCAGGCAGATGTGGGACAGCTGGAGCCCCATCCTTGTTTTTATGGGATTTTGGGAATTATGGCTGTAGGCCAAGCTGGGAGTTGGGATTGGTGGCTCCAGATCCTGGATTTTGGGCTGGGATCAGAAGGGTGGGATCCGGTGGGATCTGATGAGGTCAGAGGGTTGAGATATTGGGATCAAAGGGATGGGATCTGATGGGATCAAAGGGATGGGATGTTGGGATCTGATGGGATTCAAGGGATGGGATCCAATGGGATCAAAAGAAGGGATCTGATGGGATCCTAGGGATGGGATCTGATAGGATCAATGGTTTGAGATCCAATGAGATCAAACTATGGGATTTGGTGGGATCCAATGGGATCAAAGGGGTGGGATCTGATGGCCCCTCCATCCCCACAGGGATTTGGGAAGAGGATTTGGAAGTCAATCCAAGGCCAGGATGGAGACATCCAGGCCTGGATCCCACCAAAACTGCACCCAAAATCCCCCCAAAACTGCTCCCAAAATCTCCCCAAAACTGCTCCTAAAATCCCACAAACCCAGCTCCCAAATCCCCCAAAACACAGCTCCCCAAAATCCCCAAAGCCATTTCCAAAATCCCCCAAATCCAGCTCCCAAAATTCCCCAAAACCCTGCTCCTAAATAATTCCCAACCCTCTCCCAAAGCTGTTATTTTTGGGATAACAATTCCTGGACCTTCCCGAGCATTCCCAGTTAATCCCCTATTGATCTCAGCATTATTAGGGGATTTATTCCCAAGGAGAATCACCGACAGGATTTTTCCAGGGAAAAGGCTGGGAGGGAACCCCTTTGATCCCATTCCCGAGATTCCAGACGGGATGGGCCCTTCCCATGGGAATTTTTGGGGGATTTGAACTGGATTTTTCCATCCAAGGATTTTAATCATCATTTTCCCCAGCACAGAACGCCCAGGAATGATTCTGGATGCAAAGGGATGGGAAGGAAGGAGGGAGACTGGGAAAATCAGGATGTCACAAGTTCAGGACACTTTGGTGGCCCTGAGGGGGCCCAATCCATGATCCCACCTTGGCTCAGAGCCACCAGCCAGGGACATTCCAAAGATTCCATGGTGGCTCCATGGGGACACCCCAATGCCACAACTGCCAGGACACGTTGGTGGCCCTGAGCAGAGATGGACACTGGGATGGACATTCCCAAATCCTCCATGGGGACACCCCAATGTCACAAATCCAGGACACTTTGGTGGCCCTGAGGGGACCTCAATCCGCCTCAGCTTGGAGCCACCAATGAGGAGCGCCTGAAATTCCTCCTCACTTTTGGAAATCCAGCTCAGGGACACCCAAATTTCCTCCCCTCTTTTGGAAATTCACCTCAGGGACATCCACATTTCCTCTTCTCTGACACTCAGATTTCCTCCTCTCTTCTGGAAATCCAGCCCAGGGAGATCCGAATTTCCTCCTTTTTTTTGGAAATTCACCTCAGGAATTCCTGAATTTCCTCCTCTCTTTAGAAAATCCACCTCAGGGACACCCAAATTTCCTCCTCTCTTTTGGAAATCCAGCCCAGGGACACCCAAATTTCATCTTCTCTTTTGGAAATCCACCTCAGGGACATCCAAATTTCCTCCTCTCCCACACAAATTTCCTCTTCTCTTCTGGAAATTCAGCCCAGGGAGATACGAATTTCTTCCTTTTTATGGAAATCCATTTCAAGAGCTCCCGAATTTCCTCCCTCTTTTTGGAAATCCACCTCAGGGTCTCCAAATTTCCTCCTCCCTTTTGGAAATCCAGCTCAGGGACACCTAAATTTCCTCCTCTTTTTTGGAAAGCCAGCCTAGAGACACCTGAATTTCCTCCTCTCTTTTGGAAATCCACCTCGGGGACTTCCAAATTTCCTCCTCTCTTTTGGAAATCCAGCCCAGGGAGATCCTAATTTCCTCCTGTCTTTTGGAGAGGAACACCCGAATTTCCTCCTCTCTTTTGGAAATCCACCTCAGGGAAATCCTCCCCGCCGCTGCCCCATCCCGAGCCAGGAACGGCCAAACACGCTCCAACCCCTTCCCTTTTCATGCTCCGCGTTATCCCGGGATTTCCCCACCTCGCGGAGCTCCTTGGCCACCTCCTTGAGCTCCCGCAGGATGCCCTCGAGCTGCCCGATCACCATCCTCATGCGGCCGCGGATGCGGTCCCGCTCTCCCTCGCCCTCGCTAGGGCCGCTGCCGGTGCCGGTGCCGGTGTTGGCGCTGCCGGTGCCGGTGCCGGGGCCGGGCCGCTCCGTGCGCTGCGCATCCCGGCGGCTCCGCGAGTCCATCGTTCCCTAGGCGGCCGGGCCGGTGTCCATGCCGCTGCTCCCCGCCCGGCCCGGCCCGGGCAGCTCTCACCATCTTAACGCCGCCGCTCACGGCTGCACCATGCGGGGACACTCCGCTGGTGGCCCTGCGGTGACACCGCCGCTGGCAGCCGGAGCAGGAGGAGGAGGAGGAGGAGAGGATGGGGTTTGCCGGGAAGCGGAATTCCAGCGGGAAAGGGAGGCGCAGTGTCGCCGAGGAGGGGTGGCGGGTCCGGTGTTGGCTGCGGGGGTGTCCGGCTGTCCTCCTGCGGGGACAGAGGGACAAGGGCCGGGAAGATCCTTGGGAAGGGCTCTGGCCGCTCCTTCCCCCAGTTTATGGGGGGAAGGATGGGGCCTGGGAATGTCGCTGGAATGTCACCCCCCCTGTGGCCTCCCTCAGCGTCCCCCAGGCTGAGCCTGGGCACGGTGGGGCCTCCCGGGGATGGACACCCAGAGGGACAGGGGGACACGGACAGGGACAGAGGGACATCCGGGGGACAGAGGGACACGCACAGGGAGAGGGGACACACACAGGGAGAGGGGGACACCCGGAGGGACAGAGGGACACCCACAGGGACAGAGGGACACACAGGGACACCCACAGGGACAGAGGGACACGGACAGGACACCCCGGGGGACACGGGGACGCTCCGCACTCACCGGCGCGCTCCGGCCGCTCCCGGGCTCCGCTCCGAGCTCTTCCCGCTCCTGTTTTCCCCTGGCTCCTTCCCTCGCTTCCTCCCCCTCCTCCTCCTCCTCCTCCTCCTCGCCGCCGGCTCCCGCCTCCCTCAGGGCTTTTCCGCGGGGGCCGGGGCCGCTCTGCTCCGCTCGCTGTCGCGGGGGGGACACGTTACCGGCGGGGACAGCCCCACGGGGGGGGGCAGCGGCCCCGGGGCCCCTCCCGGAGCCCTTCCCGCCGCCATCCCCCCCGTCCGGATCCCGGCCCCGCCCCGGCCGCGGCGGGGGAAGAACGCGCCGTGCCCCCGAGAGCCCCCCGGGAACCGGGAACGGCGCGGGGGGAGCGGGGCGGGGCGGGGGGAGCCGGGGAGGGGTGCGCACGGGGAGGGGGGAGCCGGTAGGGCTGCGTTTCCCTCGCCGGTACCGGCATCCCCCATCCTCGGTACCGGCATCCCCCGTCCTCGGTACCGGCATCTCCCATCCCCGGTACCGGCATCCCTTATTCTCTGTACCGGCACCCCCCAGCCCCGGTACCGGCATCCCCCATTCCCGGTACAGCCTCCATTCCCGGTACCGGCACCCCCAGCCCCGGTCCCCGCGTCCTCCGGGGCTCCGGGGATGTAGGGTGCCGGTATCCGCAGCTGCCAGCCCCGCTCTCCGAATCCTCCAGCCCTGGTTCCCGAATTCTCAATTCCCGGTTCCCAAATCCTCCAGCCCCGGTTCCCGAATTCTCAATTCCCGGTTGCCAAATCCTCCAGCCCCGGTCCCTGAATTCTCCATTCCCGAATTCTCCATCCCCTATTCCCGAATCCTCCAGCCCCGCCGCTCTGATCTTCCATCCCCTCTTCCCGGATTCCCCATTCCCGCTCCCCGCATCCCCCTGCGTCTGTCCCCGCCGCTCTCATCCTCCATTCCCCGAGCCTCCATCCCCAGTTCCTCCATCCTCGGAGCCTTCATTCCCTATTCCCGAATCCTCCATCCCCGGAGCCTTCATTCCCTATTCCCGCGTCCTCCATCCCCGGTTCCTCCATCCCCGGTTCCTCCATTCCCTATTCCCGAATCCTCCATCCCCGGTTCCTCCATCCCGGGAGCCTTCATTTCCTATTCCCGCCACCCTCCATCCCCGGTTCCTCCATCCCCGGATCCTCCATCCCCTGTTCCCACATCTTCCATCCCCTATTCCTGAATCCTCCGTTCCTGGTTCCTCCATCCCCGGTTCCCGAATCCTCCGTCCCCGGTTCCTCCATCCCCGGTTCTCCATTCCCGGTTCCCGCTCCCTGCATCCTCCATCCCCAGATCCCGCATTCCCATTCCCCAATTCCCGAATCCCCTCTCCACGGTTCCCCTCTCCGGGACCCCCGGGACGCCCCGGCGGCGCTGCGGGCTCGGCAGGGCCGGGCTGTCCCCGTGCTCGGGGCGGGCGGAGCCTCCCCCGGTTCCCCCATCCCCGCTCCCGCTCCCCCGGGACGCACCGGAGCCTCCCCCCGGTCCCGCACGCCCGGACCCCCCGTGCCCCTCTCCCGGGGCCACCCCGGACGCACCGGCGGCGCTGCGGGCTCAGGGCCGGGCTCTCCCCGGGCTCCGGGCGGGCGGAGCGGGCCCCGGGCAGGGCCATGAGCGGCGGAGGGCCCGGCCCGGCCCCGCTCCGGCCGCAGCCTCGCCGCGCTCCGCCCGGCCCCGCGCCGGCGCTGCTGTGTCACCGGAGGGGCCGGGCCTGCGCCGGGAAAACGGGAATTAAAGGCACCGGGAGCGGGAACGGAGCGGGAACGGCGCGGGAACGGAGAGGGGATGGAGAGGGGATGGAGAGGGGATGGAGAGAGGATGGAGTGGGGATGGAGAAGAGATGGAGCAGGGATGGAGAAGAGATGGAGAGGGGATAGAGAGGGGATGGAGCGGGGATGGAGCAGGGATGGAGAGGGGATGGAGAGAGGATGGAGCAGGGATAGGGAGGGAATGGAGCGGGGATGGAGCGGGGATGGAGAGGGGATGGAGTGGGAATAGAATCTCAGGAAACTGAGTCAGCACTGGGGATGTTCCTTTGGGATGTTTCTCCCTTTTCCTGCTTTTTCCTCCTTTCTTCGAAGATGCTCCCCCTGCCTCCTCTCTACGGGGATTTGGGGATGATGGTTTTTGTGGGATTCAGGAAAAACCCAGCTGCGATGGGGGAGAGCAATCCTAAGAAAGAGAAACAACCATGGAGGGATGGATGATGGATGGATAGATGGATGGATGGATGGATGGATGGATGGATGGATGGATGATGGATGGATGGATGGATGGATGGATGGATGGATGATGGATGGATGATGGATGGATGGATGGATGGATGGATGGATGGATGGGTGATGGATGGATGGATGGATGGATGGATGGATGGATGGATGGATGATGGATGGATGGATGGATGGATGGATGATGGATGGATGGATGGATGGATGGATGGATGGATGATGGATGGATGATGGATGGATGGATGGATGGATGGATGGATGGATGGATGGGTGATGGATGGATGGATGGATGGATGGATGGATGGATGGATGGATGATGGATGGATGGATGGATGGATGATGGATGGATGGATGATGGATGGATGGATGGATGGATGGATGGATGATGGATGGATGGATGGATGGATGGATGGATGGATGATGGATGGATGGATGGATGGATGGATGATGGATGGATGGATGGATGGATGGATGGATGGATGATGGATGGATGATGGATGGATGGATGGATGGATGGATGGATGGATGGGTGATGGATGGATGGATGGATGGATGGATGGATGGATGGATGGATGGATGGATGATGGATGGATGGATGGATGGATGATGGATGGATGGATGATGGATGGATGGATGGATGGATGGATGGATGATGGATGGATGGATGGATGGATGGATGGATGGATGGATGGATGGATGATGGATGGATGGATGGATGAATCCATGGATGGATGGATGGATCCCAGCCTGGGAGGGATTCACTCCAAACCCAGAATCCATCTGGGAATATCCATCCAGGTCGCAACAAGGCTCTGTCCCCGGACTTCAGGGATTTATAGGAATGGCCTTTCCCAAGGTGATGTCAGGCCTGGGAAGGGTTGGAATTCCCAGTGGGAATCTCCTTCTGTAATTCCCACCTTGTGACAATGGGGACATCCCAGGAAGTGAATTCCATGTTCTCATCCCAAAAATCCACAGGGATACCAGGACAGGGATTTGGGGGAATATCAGGACAGGGATTTATGGGAAGAACGGAAATGCAGATCCAGGGATAAAATCCATGGAATTGTTTTGGGAAGAGGAGAAACCCCAGTGGGGGATCCAAAGGAATTCTGGCTGCTCCCAGATCCTGCTTTTTCCATCTCCCATCCCAAGGTGAATCCAGGGAATTTCAGTTCGGCCTCAGGTGGATAAAAATCCCTAAAAAATGGTTGGAGTGGGAGCACATCCCAAAAAATCCTTCTGGGGTCCAGGGAGAAAATCTGGCAAAAGCTCATCCTTGGAGAATCCAAGGATTCCCATCTGGGTGGATTTTTTCCCATGGGAATTCCATGGAAGACAATGGAAAGATGGGGATGATTCTATTCCCATTCCCTGATTTCCCTCCCTCACCCTCCTGCCTCAGTTTTTATTGTAATTCCTTGGAATTTTCCAAGGAAAAACTGGAAATTTGATCCTCAGAATAAATTCCTGCAGGGAATTTTCCCCCACATTTTTCCAGGCTCATCCAGGATTTACTGGGATTCCCCCCCAGCTCTAATTCCCAAACCAATCCTGATTTTTCTCATTTTTTCCCATTCCCTTTCCTGTTTTGATGGGAAGGTCAGTTCAGTTTCCCACCTTTTCCCCATTCCTGCTTTTCCTGGGATTTTAAATCTGGGATTACCTGGACCTGACTCTGCAGCTTCAGAAAATCCAGAGCTACTCCAGATTTCCTCTGGCTGGGGCTGGGAATTTGGGGATGCTCTGGAATTCAGGATTTGGGAGCTTTGGGTTGGGGCTCCAAAAAAAATCCCATTCTGGATCATGTTCCCACTGAATTTCCTGATTTTGGGGGGAAAAATCCATGGATTTGGAGTCCCCTAAGCCCCGATTCCATCAGGAGGGAATTCCAGTCTTCCCGGAATATCCAGGTTTGGGAATGTCCCAGGAATTAATTCCCATTTCCTGTGGGGGGGAAGGATGGGAATTCCCATGGGATCGGGATCTTCTGGAGCCCCTGGACAATGGGATTTGTCCTGTGCAGGTGTTGGGCTGGACTCGGGGATTTGGGGTTTGAGATTTGGGATTTCAGATTTGGGGATGTGGAATTGGGGATTGGGGATTTGGGATTTGAGATTTGGATTTGGGGTTTCAGACTGGGAATCTGGGATTGGGGATTTGGGATTTGGGATTGGGGATTCAGGAATTTGGGATTTGGGGTTTGAGGTTTGGGATTTCAGATTGGGGATTTAAGGACTTGGGGATTTGGGATTTCAGATTTGGATTGGGGATTTGGGGTTTAGGGATTTGAGACTGGGGATTTGGGAATCCTCTCCACCCCCTGGATCTGGGAATTTCTCCTGCCCCGGTGCTTGGATCAGAATCTTCCGGAGCCCCAGAACCTTCTGGAACGTGTGGAATTCCCGCTGGGAATGTCGGGACGGAAGCGATTCCCCAATTCCAGCCGGGAGTTTGGGATTCCCCGGTCCCGCTATCCCGAGAAATCCCGATCCCAAAAATTCCCGGGTTTTTCCGGGATTGGCTGCTCCAGCGCGGGCTGGTGGCGCCCCCTGGCGGCGGCGACACCGCCCGTGACACCCGCCGGGTTCGGGCTTCGGGATTCGGGATTTGGGATCCAGGATTTGGGATCGGGGATTTGGGATCTGGGATTTGGGATCTGGGGTTTGGGATCCGGGATTTGGGGTTTGGGATCTGGGATTTGGGATCCAGGGTTCGGGGTTTGGGATCCAGGATTTGGGATACAAGATTTGGGGTTTGGGATTTGGGATCAGGGGTTTGGGGATTGGGATTTGAGAATTGGGTATTTGGGATCTGGAATTTTGGGTTTGGGATTTGGGAATTGTCCCGGAGTTCCATCCCGCCCTGCTCCATCAACTCCAGCATTCCCAGAGGAGAAAAACCCTGGAATTTTTGGGGGATCCAGAGGGGATTGGGGTCCCACCAACCACGGGGTTTGGGGATTCCCTCCTCGAATCCCATTTTTTATTCAACATCCTAAAAAAAAAAAAAAAAAAAAAAAAAAGAGTTTCCAGCCAAATTCCTGTTTAATTCCAGGCGTTCTCTGCCATAATTCAGGATTTAATATCCAGGGGGAAAACTCCAAATGGCCCCGAAGAGGCAAAATTTGGGAGAAAATCCCATTTTTGGGCAGGGTTATCCTTTGGGAAGGGGTTTTTCCCGGGAAAATCGGGAAGTGGTGGGAATTGGGCGGGAAAAGGGATCCTTGAAGGGTTCAAAAAG